AGAGAGCATGCCGCAAGATATGTATATGGATTTGGAAAATTTGAACAATGTGATGTCATCTCAAAAAACCTTTAAGGAGGAACGTCTCAGGAACTTCTACAGAAATGATACCACCAGATTTGTATATGGACATACATGAGTTTAAAATTTTCATCCCGGATCTGGAAAATTTGAATGATGAGAAATATTCATCAAAAGTAACGGTAAGTCTTATGTATAATGGGTATTGTGATGATTATAGAAATGATTTTAGAAGTAACATTCTCTGGTTATATTTTATTGATTGAATCAATAATATTCACTGGTTAGCCAAAAAAGCGACTCTAGATAATTCCTATTCACGAGAAAAAGAAATTTCTAAATTCACCAAATACAATAACGATGACAGTGCATGAACTTTTTGGGAACCAAATACTGATTTGTCGGAAAATTTATCTCTTAACAATATCAAAATATACCTGATAACCAAAAACTACACTCAAAAAAATAGTGTAAGAACACCTGCGAATCTTATATTTAACAGATACAAAATATTTTTTCCATTCTGCAACTCACAATAGGGTGCATTCCGATTACAAAATCAACTAAATAAATCGAATAATTTATTGTTATCATTATCAATACTCGAATTAATTGTCTATGAAAAAAAGTGACTATTAAGTAAATGTTGGTGAAATGATTAGAGTCGTTAACAGCTTGTATGACTTGGCTTGGCTCTCAAAATCCAGATAGTAGATTATGTATGCTTGATGAAAAATTAAAGAGCCGCAGCTTAAGCTAAGCCATCGCTAAGCTTTGCTTTAAGCTATAATTCAAGTTACTGTTACAGCTTAAGTTGCGGCTCAAATATACAATTTAAGTTGGCTTAGATTGGCTTAGCTTTATTATACAACTAAAACTGGTTCCAAATAAGCCGTTAACAATTTTATATCCCGTATCAATATAAAATTTATAAAAGTATTATACTTTTTTTTTATAAACACTTTTAAAATTATAATTTAATATTATTTATCAAATTATTAAAATGCCAAGAGTATCTAAGAATAAAACTGATCCAAAAATATTAAACTTTATTAGAGTTAATAATAAAGTATAATTAACTATTTATCAACGAATAAGAATTATTGTGCTCTATGGTTTAGGATTTTCAATGCGTGCAATTGCTCGAGATATGAATATTGCACATTCAACTGTAGTAAGATTAATTAAAAAAGCTACAGAAACTGGAAAAATTGAAGATTTAAAAAGATCAGGTCGTCCCAGAATTTTGACACAAGAGGATGAAGAAAGGAAAATTGAATTGATAAATTCTGGAGAATGTGAAACTGCAACTGAAGTGCATTCAAAATTTAGTCTTGAAACTAATTATAAAATATCAGTTGAAACAATACGAAATGTTCTTCATAGACATGGATTAGTTGCTAGAGTTAAAAGAAAACATCCTGTATTAAATGAAAATGCAAAAAAATTATGATATGAATTTGCTAAAAAACATGAAAGTTGGACAGTTGATGATTGGAAAAAAGTTATTTTTTCAGATGAGAGTAGATTTGTACTTTTTGGAGCTTTTAAAGGACGACAGTATTATTGGCGAAAACCAGATGATAAAAAATTAAATGATACTCGAATTATACCAACAAAAAAATTTGGTGGTGGAAGTATAATGATTTGGGGTTGTATGAGTCCTGATGATTGTCGACTTCAATTAGTTGAGGAGACCTTAAACTCTGAGGGTTATCTTAATATTCTAAAAGACTGTCTCTTAGATGTTATTGATGATGATATGATTTTCCAACAAGATAATGCCTCAATTCATAAATCTATTTATACAAAAAACTGGCTTGATGAGAAGAATATAAATGTTATTGTTGATTGGCCTCCATATTCTCCTGATTTAAATCCTATTGAACATCTTTGGAGTGAAATTAAAAGACATTTAAGAGGAGAATATTTTAATAGTAAAGAAAAACAAAAATTATGGGAAAGAGTAATAGAAATATGGAATGAAATTGGATGGAATACAATAAATAAGTTGTATGAATCAATGTCTAAAAGAATTGCTGCTATAATAGAAGCTAAAGGTGGTTATACAGAATATTAGATATTAAATTTTATTTTTTTTTAAATCAAAATTTTGTTTTAGTCTCTTTATTAAAATTTAATAAATTTAGTATATAAAATTTTATAAATAATAATATATATAATTTTTATTAGAATTAAATTTATTTTTTTTTCTTTTGTTAAGGCCAATGTTAATGATAGCTAATGCCTTTATTTGTGTTTTTAATTAATATATTATATACTACTTGTACAGAGTAAGTGTACAACTAGTCATATATATAATTTTTAGTTATCTATTTATATTAGCTGACATACCTATAATCTACTAGAAGACTATCTAATTAAGTACTCTGGTTTCTATACTGTACTTAGACAATTAGTTACCTTAGTTTTTATACATCTAAGTACTATCTAACTTAACATTATACTTTTCTTTCTATATATCTGTCAAGCTGTTACCTAATTTCAGAGCATATTATCTGACTGTAAGGCTCAGAGAGCCTTTCTGTTAACTAATCTACCTACTTTAGGACCATTAACAGGGCTTACTTACTTCACAGCATATTTCTTGTACTTTTAGTATACCTTTGTTTTTTTTTTAAACTTTCAATCTAAATAGTCTAGTAGAACTACAACCAGTTTATTAATATACTAGATTGGCCTAATATCCTTTTTCTCTGATCCTCTTAGAATCCTGGCAACCTAGTTGATAGTACCTTTCATCTAAAAGTTTTTGCTCATTCAGATACTTCACATTAGTATCCATTTTCTAGGTCTAGTCTTTATAGTAATACTGTTAAAAATCTGAATTACCTCTCTATTTAGATTTTCTCAAATAGGCTTCTTGTTTTCCAATTTCTATAAATTTACATGACTACAAGGACTTATTTTAGGTTTGCATCATCTGATGTCAGTTTGCATTTCTCTATATAATTAGTTATACAGATACTTTATAACCTGCCAGTCATGCTGATATGACTAAAATTACAGATACCTTAACTCAATCATTAGAAACAGTTGCTGTAATATAAGTATTATATAGATGATTATTCAAATTTTTGTTATTAATAAAATTTGAACTTACTATCTACCACTTGAAAAGTTAACAATTTATTTACTTTACTAAGTCATCACACTCTTTTTTTTTTTTTTTTTTTTTTTTTTGTTAAAGGCCATACTTGTGGCGATACTTTATTGACTTTTATTGGGTTAGCT